TCCCACAAGCATCACACATGCCACAATCAACCACTGGGTAATGATAAAAGATCACCAAAGAAAAATCATACAGACAAAACGTCACAATCAATGCATTTATTAAATTTATCGTTCAGGGGGTACATATACGAAGCTGGAAGCTGAGTTTCGCGAGCAATCAACGCAGGCATATAAAAATAAAAATTCAACGAACAGCAAAGCGCCTGGACGTTCTCGTTCATCAAAGGCTTGAGTAAAGTAAAAAGCTATCTAGTCACTTGGTGAGATTAATTAATACAAATCAACTTTGGCTTCGTGGATTTTACATAAAAATAAGTCCTTATTCACTCCACAGATTTCCCAGCGCTCTGCATTTCAGCGACAAGATCACTCCTATCCAAAAGTTTATTTAATTCCTCCTCAGTAAACAGCTCATCCTGCGAATTGGCTGCCTGATGTTCACTGGCCTGCAGGAGCTTCTTCAGTCTGAGGATCCCCTCCTTATTGAATTTAATCTCATCAATCTCCTTGGAAATAACGAGCATCTCAAGTTTTCTCTTTGCTTTAGCACGACTGATAATGATCTCGTCATAACTGCCCTTACTGCAGAGCCTGTATATGACAACTGGCTTTTTCTGCCCAATCCTGTGACACCTCGCCATTGCCTGAATGTCAGCCTGTGGATTAAAATCACTATCAAACAGGATGACAGTGTCTGCCCCAACAAGATTCAAACCTACTCCCCCAGCTCTTGTGCTTATGAGGAAGAGAAAATACTGGGGATCATGATTGAAGAGTTTGATCGACTCCTTTCTTTCAGCAACATTCACATTTCCATCGAGCCTGCAATACTTCCATGGTTTCATCTGCAGATAATCCTTTATTAGATCCAACATAATTACCAGAGTTGAGAAGAGCAATACTCTGTGCCCACGTTCGTGGAGTTTCTCTAGCATCCTGTCGAGTACCATAAGTTTTCCAGAAGCTCTTATCAAATCATTTCCCCCCTGAGGAAAGTCACCGGCCAAGGGATTGTGAATCAAATAAGGATGATTGACCACTTTTTTATACAATATCGTGCGATTCGTTCCATTGAGCTTTGACAAGAACTCAGAGTTCTCAGCAGTGATTGGTATGTGTGAGAAACGAGATGTGTCTCTACGACTCTTGGGAGTTCCAGGAGTTCCAGCAGTTCCAAGAGTCGCAGAAAGCTTAGGGGTCCTAGGTGTTGCAGGAGTCCCAGGAGTCCCAGGAGTTCCATGAATGTTCACACTCATATTCATCGAGGAATATGGATTATTATACGTACATCTGCGTTTAGGTCTCCTTCCGAAGTCATCATCAACAATAAGATCCTCAGGAGTTTCCTCTGTAGCTGCATCGAGATCATTATTCAAAAGTGCCGAATACAGATCACGCTGGAGTTTTGTCATTGGTGCATAAACCAGCACCTCCTTCTTGGGTGGAATATCCAAGCAGACATCAACCTTCAGTCTCCTCAGCATGAAGGGTTTGAGGATCTCCCTGATGGATTGGAGAACTTTCTTGTCCTCCTCTTGCTTCAGAAGTCTGTTGGTGCCCTCATCGTTCCTGAAATCCTCAATATTAAACCAGGACTCGAAGACAGCCAGATCATTGAAGATATCCGGCATGAGAAAGAAGAGGAGGGACCAAAGCTCATTGAGGTTGTTCTGCAGTGGAGTACCAGTCAGGATGAGACGATGCGTGCAGTTTATTTCTTGCATCACCTGAGATAATTGAGTCTTTGAGTTCTTCAGGCGTTGACCCTCATCCACGATGAGATACCGCCAGTTTTGGCTCTTCAAGAAGTCTTTATCCCTGAGTGCCACCTCGTAGGTCGTTAGGACGACTGGCTGGGTTTTGAAGCCATCGACAGACACTGGACGCTTGATCTTCTTCTTTAGAAGATTTCTCTCTACCTCGCTTCCATGGAAGAAGACTACTGGAATATCTGGGGTGAATCTCTCAAACTCTGACAGCCAATTTGGAGTCGTGGAAAGAGGGGCCAGCACCAGGTAGGGACCACTTTGCTTCTGCTCGATGAGATGAGCAAGTATGGCAATTGCTTGAATAGTTTTTCCTAGACCCATTTCGTCAGCTAGGATTCCACTCATTCCGTTTTCGTAGAGGGCTTTCAGCCATTGGAGACCCTCTTCCTGGTAGTCTCGTAGATCTCCATTAAAATACTTCAGGAGGGCGAAGGTTTTCTTCTCCTTATTCTCATCTAGCCTATCCTCTATCCCTGCGTCAAACTTTTTAACATCGACGTTAGGGCTAAGTTTTGCCTTCTTTGCACTGGGCTCTTCCGTGTCATCTGCGTGGTCCTTCGAACTGCCTTCATTCTTCGACTCCTCTAGCTCGTTCTGTTGTGCGGCAAACTTCTTGGCAAATAACTCAGAGTACACTTTGCTCTTTGACACCAAGTGCAGCAAGCGTTTGTAAGTATTCTGACGCTTTTCCTCGTTTTGCTGCTCCCGCAGGGCTCGTGCGGCTGCTGCACGATCTTCGAAACTCCTCTGTGCCTCAATAAGAGCACCTTCTTCAGGATCTGCAGCTTTGTCTGTTGAAATATCGAGAGGATGTTTATTCAGTAGTGAAGTGGCTAGGGTAAGTATATAAGTTCTGCGAATTTTTGCAATAGTTTACTGAAAAAGTACGAAATTTCTTACACGATTAGAAAACTAGATATTGAATGATAATAAAACTTGAAGAGATATATTTTTCGACGACAACCTTATCGACCGTTTCTCAGAAATTTATTAAGATGAGAAGATATGGGCAATTATTACGATAATTGTGATTGATGCTGAGTTTGAAAAAAAAAATGAAAAACTGAAAAATTAAGTATTGGGGACGCAAAAGCGTATTTTCAGAAAATATGATATATTTGTTTATTAAATAATTTAACTTCATGATTAAATAGGTTTTTCATGGACGTTTGTAAT